GAGAGAGAGAGAGAGAGAGAGAGAGAGAGAGAGAGAGAGAGAGAGAGAGAGAGAGAGAGAGAGATAGATAGATATGTGTGTGCGAGTGTGCTTGTGATATTAAAAGCATTCATCAGAGCCTTCTAAGTGAGCAGCCAGCAGGCCGACCGAAACGTTCGGTTCATATACTGGTTGAAATCACTGCGCAGTGATTCTGACAACTGGGAGATGTTAATCAGCCGTTGAACCATGTTTGCGCGAAGTCACAATTACATTCGTGAGTACCGGTCCGGTGGTGTCATAGCCGAAGAATCGGCGCACGATCAACCTTGAACCGGCTCATGTGGGTAATTATGGTCGAGTTGTCATCAAGTGTGTTCTTTCAGGAAAGCCGGCTTTAAATCGCTGCGCTCTCCGCTAAACCTAGGTCGGTTTTAAGACGGGGGCGACTTTCGAGTAACTGATCTTTGCACTATGGCCAATAATGTTAGCCGAGCAAACAGAATGAGCCGTTTGCGTAAGGGTTTTCGATGGTCCCCCTTATCGAAACTATGTCGTTACTGTGTTTGTGTCTCTGCATGGATTATGACTGATGTGCGCCTGTTATATAGCAACGTATAGTGCTTCCCCGAATCTAAACAACGTCTTCACATGGGTCATTGTAGTTTGATACTGATTCTCTGTTCCTAGTGTTTTTTTCTGAAAGAAAATTATCAGTTTATTGTGCGTGTTATTCGTGTATTGAAACAGTGTAGAACAGGGGTTCTTAACCTGTGGTCCATGGACCCCTTTGGGATCCGTGGATGGGCTTCAGGGGGTCCGTCAACCAAGCGCATAAAATTGTTGTGTTTATGTGCTTATGACATAAGTTATGTCCATTTTTCTGGGGAGGGGTCCGTAGCTTTCACCAGATTCTCAAAGGGGTCCGTGACTCAAACAAGGTTAAGAACCACTGGTGTAGAATAAGCAGTTCCTCTTTGATGTTAACACGAACAATGCTGCTGATGCTGTTGCTGGTGTAAAAAGTGCCAGAACAGTATATGATCAAAATAATGTCTAGGTGAAGTATATTGCCTGCATAGTAGCAATAATGTGTGTTCAACATCATAGTTAGGCAATATAGTCATGGTTATATATATATAGGCCTATATATATATTGTTTTGTCATGGACAAAATCGGGAAATTTCCTACAGGGATTGTTAGATCAGCGTCCAGTTAGATCAGTTGGATCAGTCTGATCTAGCTGGACTTGCCCTATAGAAAATTTCCCGATTTTGTCCAAGACTAAACAATGTGGATGTATGTGCGTTGGAATTTCTAGAAACTAACAGAAAATACAGGAAGTATGATACAGTAATTTGACTATAAAAGATTACCTTGATCACAAATGATAGTTTTGATGGGTTTTATCTTCTATACACTTATAGCACACGCCACAAGCTTATTCATTGTTGCAACAGTTATAATACACGTTACAGGATTGCTGAACCTGTTAGCGGCTAAGAAAGAAGAGACAAATATTTGCCGCTTCACGTTCATAATCTCAATACATTTGGACGTGCCTCGGGAGCAATGGTAAACAAACATATCTCAAAGAGAAGTTGTACGTGCATTTGAAATCGTCATATGCGTATGTGTTGTGGCATGCTGAAGACAGCACTGAACTCGGTATGTAATTTTTTCTTAAAAAAGTGCAATTGCCGCGAAAGAAAGTTGTCCCTTCTCTATAGCGTCCGTACATGTATGTGCCGATACGTATAGGTGTGGGGCACTGTGGGCAGTGTTAGTGTTGACTAAACGGTGATCTTCCTCCTCGTGTTAATTATACAGATGGGATGTGATCTACCCGATGAACACCTGCGCATGTGAGGTAGAATACTAAGGCCCAAAATGAACGATTTAAATTAGCAACAAGTTCGATTGTGCTGTTGAGTCTTAAGTCTGAAAATAGGTTCAGGCCAACATCTTCTTAGAGTACCATCTTTGTTTTGCTTCCAATGCTGACGTTGTACACTTAGTTTTAAATTGTAATAATTATAATGATAACATGTGATATCACTTGCGTCCAACTAAATATAACGACATTGTGTTTGTGTAACCTCTGCTATAAAGCGTTTTGCTTTATTTTGACTGTCATTGTGCTCGTACTGTAAAATTTTCTTGTTTTACTATACTTACTCTCATTAGCGAGTTGGTAGAAATCTCCGTCTATGGTATATTGTTTATTGAAAACCGGTGGTGGTGAAAACGCCTCTGGTTTTCTATAAGTAAAGATCCGCGGTGTCTGTGTACAGTGTATTCTAATTCAACGGGTTGTCTATAACATCACTTACACGATGTAAGTATTTATTCCATATAATGCATTATTGCACGATGCATATTATAATATTTGCCACCTGGGAATGTGATGTTCTTCTATTAAAGATATTTTGTATTAGCAAGCGAATGTGACGAAAACCGGGCGCCGATGAGAATTTCACGCTGAATATACATGTAGATCCGCCAGATCGGCGGAGTTTGTAGCTGAGTGCGAGGCGTCACACGTACTTGTTTGTCTGTCGGTAGCAGATGTCGCGCGGTGCATGCTGTGACACGAGAGCCCATTTGCTAATTATTAATACCTATGATAGCAACAGAATTTATCTGCGATTTTATTAAAATTGTAAGCAGCGCTTTGCATTTCGTAAATTCGCTCGTCAGCGACGTCTTAATTCGGTGCACTGCTATCGCGTTTGCAGCCACCACAGCTGCCTTTGCATGTGAGCTGAGCTATGTGGCAGCTATTGCTAGCGTACATGTCTTCCCAAAGCACAGTGCTGTACAAGCATGTACACGTGTTAAACAAACCGTGTGATGAGACCCTAAAGCGAGAGGAGAGGAAAAAATGGCCGAACAAGTTGTGGAGAAAAAATTAACTCGGTGGTGGTGTGTGAGGAGGGAAGCGGGGTGGGGGTGGGATACTCATCAGCGTGCGAGAGCTGCTATTTTTAACCGCTCTATTTTCTTTAGCGTGAGATTATGTGACTATGCTTTTGCAGATCATTTTAGAGAGCTGTGTCGAAGAGCGAAGACATCTGTTTCGGCGAGGAAAAATGCTTAAGGGCTTAAAAACAAGATACGGACAGCGGCAGCAGTAGTAGCAGCAGAGCGAGTCTCCCAGCAGCGAGAGATAAACCGCTACATGCAGCTGATTGCACTGTCAACGTGTAAACGCACGACTTCAAGTTTTTTCTCTCTTCAGGTACGATGCGAGAGTGGTAACAAGTCGTCTGCTGGTGTCTTCATTCTGCAGGGGTAAGGTGAGTGCAGCGTCTCGTCACAGGCATTGCCCTACGGTCCCTAAGTGTTTCCGCGTGGACAGACGGGGCTCATCGTGAAGCGATCACGGGCGAACACAAATAAGGGTTTTTCTGTCGGATCGGCTGCGCGGCAAGTGCGTACGATGTGTCTAGATGAAATTATCTCGGCGATCTTAGGGTTGCAAACTCGTGAATGGCTCGCACAGAGTTCTCGGCTCGATTCTCAAGCAAGCGAAAGTCGCTGCCCGTTTTTTCAGCAACCCCCCGTATAGTAAAGCTTTAACGGCCCGCTTTCTAGTCTGTTGTTAGCTGAACTGCGTGCAAAAGCGCCGCCAGTTTGACGCAAAATCGGGGATAACTGAACAGGGTATAGCTAAGCAATCATCCTCCGTCAGGGGAGGGCGCGCCCCTTGCGGTTTGATGACGTCACGGGTTTCGTACGCAATCTGCTGTGACGTGTCAATCGGCGACTCAAATGTCCTACAGATATCTGCGACTGCGAACATCTTGCGTTTCTTCAACAGTTTCGCACCTCGTCACGCAAATTAAAGCCACGTCGTATCGTAGTCCCCCCGCGTGTTCACGCAGCGGGTGTCACAGGCCGCGCACGCTCGTTAGGAATAGTATTCGGAACCGAAGTTTTTGGCCCGTCTGGACATGCAGTCGCCACCACGTTTTTCCTATTGTGCTGTTATAACAGTGTTGACACAAAAGGGATGCGTGTTTCGTAGTTACACCCTACTCGCGTTCGACGCCTTGCCGAGACAAAAACCGTGCTGTGTAGACACAAGGCTAGTTTGCCCGAGTTTACCATTGGCCTGGTCATTTGTGTACATTACTGTTTAAAAAATATCCCAGACTACTAATCCATACGGCAACACGCAGCGCGAGCGCGAGGTGAAAGCCTGAAACCCAGAAGTCTGCTGATCGGAGACGGGCAGCCTGCGCTGCGCTTCCGTCGCTACTCGCTGTATTCAGTGTCACAGATCTGTGTACATTTCGGCGTGACCGCCATGTTGGAATTTCGTGGCGAAGTGTACAAAGCAACGACTTCTGAGTGGTGTACGTTTAAACAAGCAGTTTGTTTTCCTGAGCGGAGTCGTGTGTAGATATGTGAGACGCGCAGAGGCAGTTGGTCTTGCTTAGAGAGCCTCTGGAAGTTCTTAATAACAGCTTATCGCCCATTCTAAGGGTTAACTGGCTTCAGGGCTTCAGATAGTTGCAAAGACATCGGTGCCACAACACCCGACCGTATGTCGGTATAACAATGGTATGTAGATACTAAATACGTATTTAAGCGATATGTATATACATGGAAAGAGGACAAACTTTGAGAGTGTATTTTGCTGCTGATTGTTTTTATTCTTGGTAGGGGTTCAGAGGGTGTGCTGTGTCCCTAATGAAGATGTTAAAACTAACTTTGGTGCTAATGGTCGCACAAGGCCAGCTTCAGGACCCAGCATTTAGAGCGGTTCTTCATGTTTCTTTCATACTTCTAACAATTCCGTTTTTGTTGCTGAAGCCATTTTTATGTGTCCATATGTTTTCATTGTCATCTGGTGCCATTTCTGCATTTCTCTATTAGAGATCAGTTGACCATGTGTGTGTGTGTGTGTGTGCGTGCGTGCGTGCGTGCGTGTGTGTGTGTGCGTGTGCGTGCGTGTGTGCTTGCGTTCATGCGTATATGTGTGTGCGTGTGTCTGTCTGCGTGCGCGCACGCGTTTGTGTGTATGCGCGCGTGTGCGAGTGTAAGTCGTTTAGCAGCGCGGACGCACGGACGCTACCTGAGGCGGTGTGGGTGAGTGAGTGAGTGATGATGCGTCGCGGTCAGCTAGCCTGTAACCGCTGCCGGTTAGGCCGCCTGCCATCGACCGGCCACGACGTCTGCGGGCATCGCGCCCTAGACCGCTGTGTGCAGAAATGAACAAATGCTTAAAATGTGCATTTTTAGCATGCGCGTTGCCGATCTTTATTCAGGAGCGAATTTACGCGTGTCTAGTGATCGATGGCTGTCTAGCTTGATTGAGTGTAGGTGTAACGCGGGGTAATACTTTGAAGGGTGCCGGAGACGTGACCTAACGTTAATGGCCACCGTACACAATCGACCAGCAGATAGAGAGAGAGAGGGAGAGAGAGAGAGAGAGCGAGAGAGAGAGAGAGAGAGAGAGAGAGAGAGAGAGAGAGAGAGAGATAGAGATAGAGATAGAGATAGAGATAGAGATAGAGAGAGAGAGAGAGAGAGAGAAGCGAGAGAGAGAGAGAGAGAGAGAGAGAGAGAGAGAGAGAGAGATAGTGAGAGTGTAATTAAGAGCGAGAATGGAAGAGAACGTAATTGCGGTAGAAATTTAGCCAGCCAATACACATCAAGCAGGTTACATGCGAGAACGAGAGGAAGTAGCACGGCAATATATTGAGTGTATCTGTCGGAATGGTGTAGGTGTAAGGGGGGAAGTAGACCCCCCCCCCCCCACTCATCCCTCCTTCCTTCCTTCGCCTGGTGCACAGCATGGTAGTCTAGAATCGTAAATGAGTGTCGAGAGGGTGGCCGATTGTTGACGATTGCCGAAATTCTCATGGTTTAAGCGCGTCCCGTCGATTATTGACAGATCCCTTAGAGGCTTAGAGTGGACGCTCGGCCATTGTCGCAGTCCGGCCGAGCGTCCAATTATGTTCGCGGTGGCCCCCGCGACCCGCCTTTTGTTTGAAGCGGTTAATTGAAAACGGGTATATTTCAGGTGTACCGGCCGCACCTGATCTCGGTGGGAAGCTGATCCCGGCGGGCGCGCAATCCCGGCTCTGCCAGCCGAATCTTGTTTGTGTGCGCGCGACGACGAGTCTCAATGGCACCCCCTCCTCCTCTCCTCCCCCCTCCTCCTCCCTTCCCCCTCGACAATATGGTCGCTGACAACCTGTGAAGATGTGCCCTTGAATAGGCTCGGCGAGGAGAATGCGACGAGAGTGACTTGGTGTAATTACTGGGTTCTTTTGTGTCAGGGGGTCGGTTATGTGTGGCCAGCGCTTCCCGGCCACATGTTATAGACACCCGTGTAGCAGCGCTGTACGTATAGCGGTCCGGCTTAATTTCCTACGCGGCTTCTCAATGGCGTTTTACATAGTGGGTCAGGCTGAGAACGCGAGACTTTATCCAGACAACATGGTCTCGTATAGGGCAGGCTGTGCGCTAAAGTTCCAGTAGCGGAATCGGTTAGAAACGAGTGCGTAAACGCGCACGCACACACACTCCCTCGCTCTCTCGCTCTCTCTCTCTCTCTCTCTCTCTCTCTCGCGCGCGCTCTCTCGCTCTCTCTCTCTCGCTCTCGCTCTCGCTTTCGCTCTCCCCGTCGCTCTTCCTCTCTTAATTAAGTCGTCATCATAGTTATCGTTCAGTTATTCAGTACATCGCTGTCCTTTTTAGCTTCACTTCTAGCTATTTCGTACTTCTAGATATGAGCTTTCTAGCGAAGCGTCATCTACTTTTACTCTACTTCTTTCTTCTACATCTTACGCAGAGCTTACATAAAGGGTAAAGCTTACATAAGGGGGCGGGGCTCGCTACCGCTTGCACCCATATTTGGCAGTGAGTCGCATCTGCCAAAGATGACAAGATTCGGTATGTAGATGCATTACTGAGATGTAATCGCACTAATTAGCTGCCGAATCTTAGCGGGCTTTAATTTCCTGCTGCACCCGCTCTGAGCACCGGCAAATGAATATGCAAAAACGTGTTTGTTTGATTTCGAGTGCGAGAAATATTTCGGGCGTGGAGGAAAAAAAATAGAGCACGTCTGCGCGCGCCGCTATTCGGAGCAACACCACCACTCAGCTGCTGGTGGCTTCATCGTAAGTTAATTCTCGATTAATGCAGCAGCAAACGGCCGGCCCCGACCTGTCGACCCGCAGGACGTGCGTGCGCGTGCACGAAATTTTCAAACTCGTTTTTGCATAGCAGTGCGATTGTTGAGAGGTACGCGGCAGCGCACTTCCTTACCCATGCATCGCGCCCACGTGGCTGATATGCTAATTGATTAAGAAAGGATCGAGCGCTCTCGCATCCTGCCACGACTTCCTGTCACCGGTTTCGCAGGTTGACTAGTAAAATGTTGCACTTCAGTTGGGGGTCGTTATGGTGACCCATAATTAGCCTCGCGCTGGATCGGAATAATTTCGCCATTGTACAAAGCCGCGTAACAGCTCAGAGTTAGCCGGACCGCTGACCTGCTGGGGGGAGAGAGCACATGCAGGTTCAAACGAATGCACGTTCAATCGTTGAGTTTTGTTTTGGGCAGCAGTCGGCCGGAGGATTGAAAGAAAACGCCAAAAACCAAAAGGTTATAAAAGCTCCTTGCGACGTGAATATTTATGCGCGCATGCACGATTACAGAGTAGCTGATTGTCGCAGTAAGAATTGCGGCGGGTGTTACTGCCTTCTTAATATTCTGCTCGAGAAAAAACCAGTGTGTAGTCAGTTTGTTATTAGTGGAAGCTGACTAGCCTAATGAAAGAGCCAGTGTTACCATAAAAAGCATAGAAATCAGATTTACGCAGGACACAAAAGAGTCAGTTATGAAAACAGTATTAGTATGCCAGTGGGTTGTTTTTGCACCGGCTTATGACCAGGTCCCCCGCATTGTCTTGCCGTGCTAGCGATCGTAGTTGGTATGCGGCGCAATGCGGGGGTGGGGTGGTGGTCGGGGTGGATCACTGCTTGATCGCTGCCCGCACTCCATTGCCGGCCGTAACGGAAAGGAAATGAATGACAAAAGCATTTATTCTCACCCACCGACACGGCTTTCACGAGCCGCACGAATTAAAAGCTCCGAATCACTCCCGTTGGCGGTTGATTGGGTGGGAACGCGGCATTGTTCATTGGCGGCTCTGAAATGTGCTGAAACTAAGTGTTCTGGTAATAATGATTATGCCTTTCCTCTTGGGCGTGGGCCATTTCCTGTGGCAGTGTTATTACCAATTTGCGTTTAGGCCGAACATCTTTAAGTTCTTTA